CGAGCGTTAAAAAAACATTTTCAAAGACATTTTGAAGAATTTGATTATATATTTATTTTTAAAAAATGAAAAAACATCGAAATTTGCATTTGAGCTTATCAATATTGAAAATCTGTCATAAGTCAATGTTACTAATGATAATAATTTTTTTATATGAAGTTGAGTTTTTTAATACTTGTATAAAAAAAAGTCTCAATTTGGTTATTTGCTTACGGATATTTTTGACCAAATTTGGTATAAATACCCCAATTCCAGGAGAATTTCTTCTGGCAACTTTGAAAACTCTCTTCTGGCTCCAAAGAAATTGTACGGCAATAAGTGGTCCTTGGAACAGAGATCATTATACATTTCAATCAATCGACGAGTTTGATCATGATCGATCGCTACGTTTTCAGCCATCAAATTCGCCTCATTAATTCCATTGTCATTGATCTTTAGAAAAGGAATAAAATTTGTAAACATAAAAAGCGTAAATATTTCGACAATATAAAATTTGTTTTTTTCTGAATGTAATTTTTTAAATAAAAAAAAGAAATGATAAAGTGTCAAACTTACGATGCCAAGCTCAAGAATACTGCAATGAAAAGAGCATGCGGTTTTTGGGTCCGTCTTAAGAACGTCTTTTGGCAATGGTATTGTCGAAGATAGACTGTACTTTGTCAAGCATATCCGTTTTGCGCCACGAATCAATTCACGTTGAGTCGTGATCGATTCAGAGTAGGGCTAAAGGGAAATATACAACGAAAAGTTGGACATCAATACTTTTTCACATTTCACTTAATTGGTTATAAAAAAAAATTCTTAATGTTCAATTTCAATTACCTTGTTTGCAACACTTGAGGAGATTGCAACGAACAAAATAAGGCAAAATAATTTCATCATTTTGGTTACTTTTGTTTTCTATTTAGAAATCGGAAAATAAAATAAACTTAATTAGTATTCATCACCGATCACAATATGACTTAAAAACAAAATTAGGAGTTGATTTCAAGAGTCTCAATTTTGATTTTCCCAATTGCGTACCACAGAACAATGAAAAATGACTTGCTTCGAATTACTTTTTTATAATTTGGTGATTTCTTTGTCGAAGTTTAAAGTGCGACTGATTCATTTACTGAATTTCGCTGGTAATTATACAAACTATTGTGCTAACTCAGCTGTAAATTGAATCGATATTTGTCATACACAAATTGCGCATAATTGAATGAAGCATGTATGACTGCTGATATATGTGTGATTTAAATGATTGTTTTGACGAATCCATATTCAATCATTCATTTTAATATAAATAATTAGAATTTATTCGGTAATATTCATCGAAAATTCTCGGAATTGTCTCCATTCATTTATCATTTAGACTTTATAAATATTAATATTGCATTTTTTCTGCTTAACTTTGAGTTTTAAAAATAAAAACAATATTTCGCAGAGAAGTGCATAATTAAAATAAAGAAGAAACCAGCCTGATAATTGCAAATCATCGCTGATTATGTAGTTTTTGTTAAAAATCGATTTTTGTTTCACGTGTCTGAATCGAAATCAGTCTCACTATTGAAACTCAAATATGGCAAAAACGGAATGTATTCGAAACCAAAACCCCGTCTGGCGTATATTTATAAGAATTGACGACAGATTTGATAATGGATTTCCAAAGATTCGCCGTAAATCCAGTCGTAAAATGTTTACCAAAATACAATCCCATTTATACGACTAAAGGTGCAGACCTAACTGTTTGGTTTATACTTTGGGACAGCTATTTGCAACTAAAATGGTGAAAATTCAATTTTCTTCGTTGCATCCGATGATCGAAGTTTTTGAATGCTTTGTATACTCTTAAATCAATAATAATCTCAAATATTAAATGGCATATCACTTTTCAATGAAAACTATCTGTGCTGGCGGTGCGTGTATTGATAGAATCATGAAAACTTGTCACGAGTGAATTCAATGGATAAATTTTGCGAAAGCACAGAAAAAAAAGAATTGAAAACAATTACTTGTCAACGCGATTGAGATGCATGATGGCACATATTGCATACAGCGTGTGTGTGTTTGTGCTTGCCATTGTTTCTCATACCGTCCATGTATATGAAAAACTTTAGCCCATTAAAATCCTAAAGTCATTTGATCAATTTTCATTTTTTTCTACACTGTCGCTTCGGTCCAAAATTGTCATAAGGAACAAGAGAAAATTAAATGAACACCAGCTGACTGTTACGATGGGACATAAGATTTTATTAAGTCATAAAGTTGCAGCCCGTCGGAAAAATGGAAGATGTACAAACGATAAAGCGAAAGCGGATGAGTGAGAGAGACGTGAAATTTTGAACTCTGGTTGACGTGATGGCTCGTCCATGTGGGCTAAAAAAATGCTTGTATATATATTGAAAAATAACAAAATATGATGATACGTGCGGCAAGCGTGTACAGTAGTAGATTAATCGATGTTTCGTGTGTTGCATTGAACAGTGCACACCGTACATCGCAATGTGTTTTATGAAAACTCAAGGAACTTGCTGTTGAAACATTCCAGTTGAGTGACATATTTATTAAATAAACACATATATCGATCAAAATTGCAGAAACATTAAACGGAACACTGAAAACATAAAATGATTTATTGCCATCGGTGTACAAGAATGACACTATAGATCTGTCGCGAGCTTTGATCGAAAGCAACACTATAATAAAGAATGTTCAAAACTTCTTTATATGCCGCCTCGATATGGTGGTGTGATATTAAAAAAAACTGCATCTCGCAACACATTGGAAAATGATAAAATCCACCGAATGAATGCTCGTTTCAAGCTCAAAGTCAATATTAAATCCCTTTTGCAATTTTCTCACAACTTCATTTCAATGAAACCCCCTGGTCATTTGAAATGGCAAAGTGGTCAATAAGCAATTTATATATCGATTTGGTTTGTTAATTGCGGGGCTCTGAAGCGCATTCAAGAAGAAAAAGCATAATATTCAAAACGAAATGAAAGCAACCGAAAACCATTTAAACCAACCTCTCTCTCTTCCTTTCAACACATTCCAGCTCTCGCCACATATTCATGAAAAATAAAACATTTTCAAATAAATTACACTTGAATCGCTCGTGTTCATTTCGAAACAGATCTCTCATGTAATTTGCTACTAATTATTGGCATGTATATCAATATTCAGTGCACATAACATTTACCATGTGAACAAAATACACACGCGCGCGTGCACACCAAAAACAACCTCAATTAACCTGAAACTTCGATCCTATTGGGAAACGAAAAATTGCAATTGAGAACCATAACAACGAATGAGCTAAGAAAAAAAAGGCGAACCAAATTCTCGTTCATTCGATTCTAAATAACTAATTTAAGACAGTTTTCGTGGCCCATTCTAATTATGTGAAAGGGAGAGAGGAAGAGAGAGAGAGAGCGAAGAATGGTTAGATAAAAAGAAGCATAACCGCACTCATGATACTCATACAAATGATGTTGTCTATTAATTTAGTATTATTTCCGGATATCTGTGTTTAACACGGTACACATAAAGAGTGTTTTGTTGTTGTTTTGATGGGTGGTGAGCATGTGTTTCTCATTGATAATTCGTGTCGTTTTTTCCCATTTTTCGCCCCCTTCGCCGGTCGCATTTTTCGCTCTCTTCTGAGAGTTTCGGTGTGATTTGCTGTTTTTCCTTTTTTCGTTGTCTCATGCCGGTTGATTGGTTGGCAGGCTGTATCGGTATCGTTTCAACCTCACTCTCACCAAATGTGCCATTTTCGATGTAGTAATCGACCGTTTTTGTTGTTGCCAAAGTAAACTGAAATTGGCGTGCGCACAATGAACATCGTTATATTGACGAACCCTTTCCGAAAAATGTGATGGGTAATTTTCTCTTTTGTGCCATTTCTCAAGATGAATATGTACGCCAAATAAACATCTTCAATTACGTTTTTGGCCTCTCTTCCCAAATCCTTTACGCGCAAATTCGTTTACACACTCGACTTTTTTCTTCTTTTTTTTTGAAACCAAAATTGCGCATCAAATACATATTCATCGAAAACACAATATGCTTTTTATCACAACACACACACACACACAAACACATCACACCGTATGCGAATTTTTATATTTATTACAAGTTTAGTTTTCGAACCCATTGTTGTAATTTATTTTATTATCATTCACAGTATTTTTTTTCCCACTTGCTCCGGCTCTTTACATTTCCCGTGTTCAAAACTGAACTTTAAATATGGAACGCGAATGAATGGTGGCGAACGAAAAAAAGAATCATCATCCGGAGTGTGCTTATACGCTTCCTAAATGAGAACAGATAAAAAGTTATGTTATGAAACAAAAGGTAGATCTTCCTTCGTTATTTATTCCATGCATTGTGATGTACGGACCGCGCGCGCCAGAGAAGCGCGAGAAAAAAACGCATGATTCTCGGTAATGGCATAAGCAGCATTTTCTTCCGAACGTAAAGTGAAAAAGATGTCTCGGTGCAAATGAAAATTGAAATAAAATGAATTTAATACCAGAGCGAGAGCATACAAAACGTTTATTCCCTGCACTTTTCCCGATTGCGCAACGAAGTGTGTTTTTAATTACAATATTTCTGCACGCCGACTATATCAATATCATTGAGTTGTTCTACTTGCTGCTACAAATTATCGTGGGAAAGTAAGAAAACTGTGACAACGACAATGACGATGGGAACGTGAGCAAGCACGACAACTGCATCGGGGAATGAAAGTCTATATAAAGTTTATGGAGCTGCAAATACCAAATAAAGCATGGCATTGTTACTTGACTCGTCTTTGTTTGAACTCTCTCTCTCTCTCATGATACGCAATTATACACTCAGGTGATAGACTACAAACGACAAATACCGACATAATAAGACATACTTTTTGAAAAAAAGGGGGAAGATTACGAGAGAAAAGAAATAGAGGGTGTCAGGCAACAGTGTAAAAGAGAGGAGACAATGAGATAAAAAAAACAATGAAAGTAAAACAGAGAGCAAGATAAAGGCAGAGTAACTTAAACAGGCCAAACACTTGGTTTTAATTTGATTTTAAAAGCTGAGACACAATTATATTAAAATGAGAAGAAAAATGTTAGTGACATACAATTGAAAAGTTATGGCACATAATTTGCATAGAACAACAATGACACACTACATGATAAATTAAGAAGTTCCGCTGGAAGAACCGAACCGAATTAAACAGAACGAGAAAAAGAGAGATTTATCAAATGATTTAAAGCGAAAAACAGTAAATTTTCAAAAAAAACACCATTTGTTCGAATCAATTGAAAGCTATTGCAGCGAAAGTGATAGTAAATCGCCAAGAAATGTAGTCTGATTTGAAAGGAATTTGGCAAATCTTTCAGCTAAATCTAAAAGAGAAGAAAAACGTGAGCAACTACATATATATCTCTATTAATTCCGATTAGGAGCTTTGGCCGTTACTCCGTATCTTTAACACAAAATGGAAATTTCATCGTCTTTGTACATTGTATGCACCGAGCATTCGATTCGTTTCACACCGAATGGAATTCTCGGAAGATTTCTTCGTGTGCAGTGTACCTTTTTTTATGTATTTTAATTTTGTGCATTGTCGATGTGATCATTCCAACAATATGTACGATTCAATTCGTTCCGACTGCTCCTTGGTATGCACAGAGGTTGAGATGGAGAGTGAGACCGCATCGTGTCTTGGTCGTCGAATTTCTTCTTCTTCTCTTTTTTTATCATGATTTATGGTTTTTAAATTATCTTTAAATGTTATATGGATCACTGAACAACTGGAAATGTGCCAGTACATATTTTTGCCGTTTATTCGCTCTCTTTCTCTTCATCATTGTACATTTTTCTTTTTCTCACGACTTGAATTGCCGTCAGGTTTTTTTTACTCTCGTTCGTCCTTTCTCTCTACATCTATCTATTGCGCGCCGTTTTATACGAGAAAATATGTTTTATATTGGAAAGAACGTTGCGAACGAGAGAAGAAAAAAAAACTGTTTGGCTCTCGTTTCAGTGGTTTAAAATACAGTTTTTGGTGAAGAGTTAGTTATGGTTCATGAGATGATGTGCACCAACAATGTGTAGAATTGAAGCGGAATATTGCCTTGTGATATGTGCAGCGTCCGTATAATAGGGAAAAAGGCATCCCAACTACCAACTATTCGTGTCGCTTCACTTCACATTATCAATGCCACAATTCTATATGGCATCGGTTTTGTTCTGTGCCCTGCACGCCACACCAAATAGCCGCTTCGATACGAGAATCTGTGTGCTTTTTTCTTGTTATTGTTGCTGCTGCATGTATAATGAAATGGCAGTTTATTGGCAAAACACTTTTGCGCAAAAGGTGAATAAATTCTTCGCATAATGTGATGACTGTCGTTCTCAGTCTCGATTAACGAAAGCATTTACCCGATCGAATGAAAATAAAACAAAAAGTGCATCAGCGTTGGAAGGGGGAAGAGAGAAAAAATCGCCGTAATAAATTGAAAATGCAGATAAATTGCATTGAAAGCCATAAATTCATGATTCAAACTTTATTGAGATCACAAAGCGGCCTGTTGTCATTATCTTTCCGTTACAACATTTTTATTTTTTTTACAAAGGCATTCATCATTTGATATCACTTAAATACGCATTCAATTCCATCGGAGCGGCAATAAAGCACATTTTTTTCGATGTTCAACCCTATGTTTTGCTACTGTTGAGGCACAATGATAAAAAAATATCGATAGATACGTGGTCGTATGAGTAAACATTGCTTATGGGTAACTCGTTTGCGTTCGCCAAAAATACTGGATGAATCTGAACACGTTTTTAAATTAATATTTACTTATTTATTTAATAATTGTTTTCATTAATCGAATGATTCATATGTAATTCAAATGACTTAAGTCATGACAGTTTTTTTTATGTAAATATTTGCTATAATAAATGTCACGGTAAGTAGACAGGAATCCTGGCGGTTCATTTTGATGGCGAAGTATATTTGAGCGATACATCGATTCCAGTTTCAACTTCTGCCGATTAATAATTGTGAGAATTACTAATAATCAGTCATTTGATTTATACACAAAAATGAAGAATATTGTCGATTTAAAATTTTACAAATACGTCTTTTATTTATAATGTGTTGTAAATAATCATCTGAAGACATAGTACATCGAAACAAGTGTAAATTTCCGATAAATATGAATGTAGAATATGTTATGAAAGGATTCTGTTGTATATTGTGTTTTGTTTTCGGTTGATATGGTATCGCGGTGCGATGAATGAAAATATGCTTTCGATGGAATGATACTCTTCCATGTAGCTAAATTTATGTGCATCGTCACTGTTCCCTCGTCATTTCATATGCGGTAATGTGTAAGTGTGCGTATGGAACAGGGCACATAAAATTAAATTCTCTACATAATTGGCAGATTGTATTGTAAACCGAGACCATAAAAGCAAAAGCAAATTATTGTCAAAACAGATGCCACTTCCAATAAATTTTCCGCCTTTTTTCCCGTCACCATTTGGGCGCATTTGTTTTTTGTTACATCCAAAATTCATACGCACACACAAACACATATGCACGGGAATTAGGCAATACACACCTTGTTGCAAATTACATTTGATGTTTACAATAATGCAACATTATTTATGCGCTTCATCCAAAGCTGAACATTCCATTATTATTATTTGCGACATATTTGTGAAGCGATCGATTTTGACGGCTTGAATTCGAATATTATTTTGAAATTTTACATCTATGATTGTAATATGCCTGTATGAACGTCATGTCATTTGACTTTATTTGGCGTTCTCAATAAATGAAAATTGGTTTTCTTTATTATTGTTAAAATAATTCATTTTTGTTTCAATTCCAGCATCGTTGTTCAATTAAAACAAAAACAAAAACATAGGTAAAAACATTTATGGAGTCTGTCACATGTATGATTTCGATACCAATAAAAAGCACCACATAACCGTGTAAAAAACCGATGAAAATATGCTTTTACCGCTTGAACATTTTTCACCATCATTATTATTACTATATGAACGCTCTCAATGGAGCAAGCGTATTAATTTTAATGGCAAATATTTTCGAATCTAACGAGTCGAACTTTGTAAATTTAATGGACACCAAATGACCATTAAGTAATGAGATTTTACGCCCCAAAGATATCATTTCGAAATTTTCATTAAATTTATGATGCGCTTCTGTTGCTCACATCAATTTGAATCGGTGATAAACGCATTTTTTGAACGATGTTAATGGAAGTGCCGCGACCCAACAATGTTTATCGATATTCACTCACTGAGCATATTATTTTGAAACATTGTTTTCTTTTTGCATAATTTTGAACACGAGTTTTATAAGCGATACATTTTTTTTCAATATATGTGATTGATTATTGCTAATGACACGGATTTAATTTAATTTTTCGGCGAATTTTCAATGAATAAAGAAAATTGGCAAAATAAAGAATAGATTACAACGTAAACGGATCATGAGATTGTTAAAAGATTTCCTTTCCATGCGAAATAGATCTATTACAAATAGATATTTTGACAAGCCCTCAGACCTTGTATCAGATGAACATTCGAGAGGTGTTATCAAAAAACAATGCAATGAATATTTGTTCTCGAAGCACTGAAAGAATGTTAAAAATGTATTTCAAGGTGTATTCTGATTTGATCGACTATATTTTCTTGTTTGAGAAAAAAAAGTTTAATTGAGTTGGATTGAATGCAAAAAACTTATGAAATATCGTGATATAGTATCTAAAAATGCAATATTAAATATAATGACCTATTCGAATTTTGTTTAATTAGGTTGACATTGATATAAGTAAAAAAAACTGTATCGATAGCGTCAAATTCTAATCTAAGATATCTAACCTTTTCATTCAAACTGCAAAATAGTCAAAAAATACAATTAAATCAAATCTCTCTACCAATAAATTAGGTCATACACAATAGAATATTTCTTTTTGTTCGCTTTTCAATTTATTCAATTTCGCTTGTCACACAATGATTTTAAATAACACGTCTGCTTTCGTGGAGTACATCGTTTAAACATTTAAATACTAAATGTTAGTTGTCTTTAACTTTTCGAAAACGGAAATGGAGAAAAGGGGGATTTTATTGTTTATGCAGATAATTCAATTAGAATCATGTTCAAATGAGAAATCGGCTCCGTCAATCCGCATAAGTGTAGAACTATATCGTATAAATAATTTTCCATTGAAAATTTCTCATGTTGTGCGCGTAATTGTGTTCAGAATTAAGTGTGGTAGTGGTTGGTTGTCTTTGTTATATCAAGTCTATTGTTAGTTCATTTTATCAGATTTACCAAACACCAAATCGTGTTATTTTCACAGTTCATTGTGGTAGTAAAAGAAAAGCGAATATTAAGCGCTGTGTGCAACCACTTTTCACAGTCTGTTAGAAAACATGTTCATGTTCACGTTAATTTGGATTTCAATCATACATGTATTTATACTTTTTCCACTTCACACATCGCATATTCGGCTCTTAAAGTATATACGGCCATGATATCTGGATTTTGGTTTTTGAATTTTAGTTTGTTTTTTTTTTTTGTTCTGTCGCAAATTTGAAACTTGATAAGTATTGCTTGTTTTCTGCTACTCTTGATGTTGAAAAAAATGGTATTTCACTTCATTCGTACCTCTTCAATGATATGGCTATTTATTTATTCAAATCGAAAGTGTGAGATACACATTTGAATTGTCAAATACTATTCATTATCAAACCACTAAAACAGAATTTAAAATAATGAAACAAAAAATCATTATAAATTTATTAAAAAGCAATGTCATTTGTTTTCTCTGTTGTTTATTACAGCGTGTAAATATTTGATGAAACTACGGTAACGATATCTTGTGTTACAATATTGAATTAAATTTGAGGGAAAAAAGGCAATGAATACAACAGAAGTGACATTTTATGTTGGAATTATTTACTTAAGCTCTTCACAGGTAAGTGTTCCTTCGTTGAAAATGGAACCTTCACCGCATGCAATCAAACGTGGATGTCCTTCAACGCAGGTAATAAGATGATGACTGTCACCGGGGATAGCGTACCGTGGGTATGGCCAAAAGCGTGCCGATTGTGAATTTGGATCAACTTTAGTTGGGCATTTGAAGCCAACAACAGCTGTAATGAAAATCACAAAAAAATGAATTAAAAGATGAGCTTTTTTTGCAAATGCCCAATAGCTTACCTTCTGGATTACAGATTTCAAGAAGTTGATCTGGCCAATTGCATCCATGAATGCGTTCGTCGTACGCCAAACCGGCGTCACATGCGTGTTGTGATGGTTCACCGAACGCACATTTCAAGTAAGAGGTCGAACATTCTGCACTGTCTGGATAAATACCAAAAGCATATTCGCATCCCGGCGAGGAAATTGGAGTAGCTGCAAATAAAATTGGTGTTCCATTAATGAATCTCAATTAAATCGAAGTCTCTTCGACGACACTTACGATCAAATTTTCGTGGTCCACAGTCAACGGCCCAGTTGTAATTGCAGTGATTGTGTACGGCACCTTTACCATCGAATAACAAACCATTTTCGCATGTTTCCAATGTTAATGTTCCGTTTGTACACAAAAAGAATTGATCGCAGCTGTCTGGATGAGCATAGGCCTATCAATGAAAGGTGAGAATGTAAAGCATCAAAACAGCAGCAGACGCTTTCTTATTTTAAAAATGCGAATTTGGCGATTTTATTCAGTTGAAAGTGTAAAGTGTCAATGAAGACGAGACAACAATAGCATGATGAATGTGTCTTACCTGTTCGCCATAGGGCTCTGGACAATGTGGAGCGGCAGCGCCATGGGCTAGAAATGAACAGCAAGAAAAAGACAGAGAAGAAAAAAATCAATATTCTGCAAATCTGTCTGAATAATAAAAGTCTGTGTTGAGTGCAAATGTCAACTGATAAACCAGTTCTGTTTTCAATGACTTCATACTTTATGCCAACACACAGATGCAACTTTATTATTCAGTTTTTTATATGGTTATACGAAGAAAAAAAGAGAAGAAAAAATCGAAAACCATCGATCATTTTGAAAAATCCAAAAGAAAGTAAACAAAAACCACAAAACGACGCAATTTCTTCTATAATAATAGACATTGAGTTTATGGTTTGTATACAAATATACGAGGAAGTCATGAGCAAAGCAAAAAAAAGCGGTGATTGTTGGAGGCGTCATATTTCTGTTAAATAATTCGCTTTCATGAAGTGATAAGTGAAATCTATTTTGGCCAAACTGGTTAAAATACAAATCAGGATTTTGTTCGTGTGAATTTATGTGAATCGTCATGAATTCGCAAACGACATCGCATAAAAAACAGTAAAAATATGGAGAAAATATTCATGAATCTAATGCTAGAAAGTGGCGATAATTTGAGGTGAAAAATCCAGAGGCAGTGAGCGAGCAAATAAAAGTGAGAGAATCGAAGATATTTCAAAAAAAAAAAACATATTTTCAAGCAAAACGAAACGAGACAGTCGACGCCGCAAAACTAACACGTTCGTTTCAAACATTGAAGATTGATATTAAAAAACACTTTCATTTGATTTCCTCGTTTTGCTCTTGCGGTCATCGTTTTCAATACATATAAATCACAATTAGCGTCAAATCCAAATGAAGCTAATTTTTAATTTTATGCTCGTTATGATTCAATGCTTTTTCAAATACGAAATAATTCCATTTGTTTAACCCTTCATCAACTTGTTTAGGCATGTTTTTTTGCATTGAATAGAATTTGATTTTTAATTTATTTTTCGAAAGAATTGAATAAATTATCTTCAAAATGTCAAATGAAAATGGGCTGATGAAGGTCATCGATGTTTTCAGCCGAATTCAGAACGAAAAATATGATTTCGAGTAAATATGTTCAATTTTTTTTTACCATCGAAATACCAAATGCGCTTCGAACCGTTACCACAATACGAAACATATTGCACCAGTTCATAAAGAGCTCAAACGATTACTATATCGATATATCGGTTGCAGAACATACGCCAAAAAAAACTAGACCAAAACCGAGCTCAATGCTGTGTAATTAAAATCGGTAGAAAGAAAAAGTTGCAATGAGCGTGTGCGGCATATTACAAGTGCTCAAGAAAATCGAATGAAAAAAATATGCGAATAAAAAAAGAATAATAATTGAGTCGAGTGTTGGGTTTTATTTTGCCAGACGGCTAGTCAACAAGTGAAAATAGTTACGTGAAAAAATACATGGGCTTCGGTTTCTTTGTGTTCGTGTCAAGCATGTACAACAAAGATATTTAATGTTCCGTTTGCACAGTTACAATATTGTGGGGCGCTTATTATTCTTATACTGCAGGCTTTTTTTTTATAGAAGAACACTTATCGAGCTCTACACTTTTTGTGTATGAACTCACCTCGCACGCACCATTTACATTCACCAACGTCAATTACTCCATGAATGTTCAATTTTGGTTTAATTTATCTCACATTTTTCACCTTGGATTTGATCTGAAATGCATGTTGCATTCGCATTGTAAATATCTTTAGATTGAAGATAGACAGTTTAATGCATGGAATATGCAAATATTAGAACAGACGTCGGTCAATAGAATAGAATCTTTCTATTTGTATTTAATAAAGTCTCTCTTGTTCGCTCTTTCTCCCTTTGTGTCAGTCCATCTCTTTTTCTCACTTGCTTCATCTTCCTCTCTAACATTCAAACCGTCTTGTGATAAAAATCGATGGTTAACAACAATGGATGAAGAAAAAAAAATGAAATTTGCACATCAATTTACCCAGAATCCCAAATGAACAAATCAACGCAACTGTAAACAATGTTCGATGCATGTTTCTGTATTCGTCGCACAAACCGATCGAAGTCTCGACGAGTAAAAATGTGTACCAAATTACAGTAGATTAAACCGCCTTTAAATCTTTATTCACCCAAATCACAGAACACGTTCTTCAATCGTGAAAAGTGCCGAAAAAAGAATAAAAGAAAAATATGAATGAATTGTTTGATAATAATTTTAATATTCACGTCATGTTATTCATCGTATTTCTTCACTGTATTATATATATGTATTTTTGTCTTTGGTGCTTCGAATGGCATAACCGAAATATAAGTGAATGCAATGCAGGTAATATCAATGTTACGTTATTCGTTGTTAACTTCGTCGTACAAAAGACAAATTCCCTAGTTAGTTTTCGTTTTATTGCTCTGTGAGCAATCAAAAAAAAAATTGCTTAAACTTGTAACGGTCGTTCGAGAAAAAATCGCGAAAATAGCTAAAAATAATAATAAAATTTCCTACAACAAGTTCGTACTTTATGATGTGATTCTTCCGTTACTAAGGCTGAACACCAACTAAACTTAAACGAACGATTCGCTTGGCATAATTTTTTTTGTTGTTGTCTTAATTCGAAAGTAAACCTCAACACCTTCAAATCGATTTATACGATGATGCATTGCATGTGTGTTGGTGCGTGCAAGTCTTTTGTATACAGTAAAAACATGTTGTGCCATACACATTTGTCTTCAGCGGCAGCGAGTGGACGGCGACTAACAGTTACAATAACAACAATAGCTGTAGCAACAGCAAACCACGATCGTTCATTGTTAATCATGTGTAGAGAATGCGAGACTCGATCAAACCTTTTCAAAAAAAAAAGAAAAAAAAAATCACATTCGCTTACTAGTTTCGTTTTAATATCATTGTGTGAATAGTGAATACATTAATGAAATGACCATAAATTTCGTGAAAGGGAAAGAAAGCAAAGAGGCTGTTTCAAATTGTTTTCAATCTCTCTTGCATATTGTGAGTTATGTGTTTACAACAAAATTGATATTTCAACTCTTGATCACCATTTGGATTGATATCTGTATTTCTGTGTATTTTCGTATCTTTTTATTTATGTTGAAAATGCGCAGCAATTTTTTAACTTAACAAACGATTTACCCACACTCTTTTAATCCACATTCCGATTTGCACGTATGATTATTCTGTCATTATGACAAACTGGAAACTACCACGTTTTGTATTTATGGCAAAATCAACGGAAATGAACAAATACAATTAGTTATTATTATAAACAAAGAAACGAACGAATGAAAAAAACGAAACTCTATTTTTTTTTAAATTTCACATCCAGACAAATGGGCAGCTGAAATGTTAAATAAATTGAACCTTTTACAATTCCATCGACGAAAATCATAAAGTACTTCATATAACTGTAGGAATTATACATATTTTCTTTGTAATTCAAAGTCATAATAGAAAGTAGCCGCTATGATTTTTTTGCTAAAAGTAATGAGCAATGGTTTTATTGGGTTTTATATGTTTCACCAACAAGGTTCGAATCCTTATTTCGTATATTTCTTCGAAATAAGAAAAATATTTAGCCTGGAAACACATCAAACCCATTCACTGCATAGGAGCTACATCTAGAAAGCGGATGGAGCAAATTTATTGAGCTCAATTTCAAACTTGAACCAACACTGAAATATTGGTTCTAGTCTTTGCTATGTAATGTTTTTAGTACATTCTAACGTTGAAAAATGAAACGTTTTGGCCCATTCTGGTGGTCATTTTCGTGTCAAATGGAACGGACATTATATGCATAGTTTCCACGAATTCCAATGGAATGGATCCACTTGTTTCTTTCACTTCCAATAATATTTCATTTGACAACATAATGTGAACACAACCCAATACGTTAAGTTTTAAATTGTGTGATGGGATAAAGATTCCAATCGTTGCCTTTATAAAGGTATTAATACATCGAAATATTGTTCAAATATATAAGGGAGACTCTGTCATAATAAAATCAACTGAGGATAATGTGGAAATATTTTGGTTGGTATTGGTTATTATTAGTTGACAGTTTTTACAGCGAGCTGACGACACTGAATATTGGCATCGAATGCATCAGAGTTAGCTGAGATTTCAACGAAGTAAGTCGCTTCATAAGAACTCGTTCTGGTTGTCATTTTGTGTGTTTCAGTCAATAGTTTACATTGTTTGTCGTATGAATTTCACAATCGAATGCAAATCATATTAATAATTGTTCCGTTGGTTTTTTTTTTCGATAAATTTCTTGAATACAATTGCATTTGATACCGCATTTTTTTACGGTGATTGTAACAGTACAAAATAAAAATGGATTTTTTCTCAATTCTCATTAGAATCATAATGGCAAAAAGGCGAGGGCCTAAAAATTTTGGCGGTGTTCCGAGAAAGAAAGCAAAACAAGAAGAAAAGAAAAAGAAGGAAGAAAATGTCGAAAAACGAACACGTAAAGTACCCGCCAACTCAATATTCAGAGATGAATATGCAGACTACCTCGTCGGTCACTTTTATGGTGAATGCTTGAAAGCATCAAAAATATCGTATCTGGCGTCACTTTTATTGCTGTATAAAGTCAACGAGGCGTTTGATAACGATGATCATGATTATTTTATTACAACTAATGGAAAAAAGGAAATTCGTAAAATTTTCACCGCTGTGGCACGCATAGATGGTGAATTTACAAATCAAATGCCAGACGATTTTCGAGAAATGGTCGAGACATTGACTAACAACGAATTTGAGTGGCCATCTCGTGATCTGATGGGAAATGCATTTGAGTATATGCATCAACAATACCTTAGCAATGTGACAACACAGCATACCACACATTGTGAGAAGGAATTGGCGTACTTCTTGCAAATGAAGCGCTACCAATTCAATCAGGAACCATACAGATTATTCAAATTTGATGACATCGACATTCGAAACGCAATCGAAAGCATTATGCGCAATAAAGACTGGAGTGAAGGCGATCCAGTTCGAAAATTCAAAATGAATGAGCTGTTTGTTGCCGTGAAAGAACGTTGTTTACCATCATTTGGCGATTATCTCACAATGACTCAATACATCGAGAAAAAGTGGTTTGAATCACTTTATTTTTTCATCCAAATACAACGTGAAATTAGTGAATTCAAGGCAGAACATCAACAGCTAGTGCATGCATGGCTGCGACACAAGAAAAAACCATTGTTGTTCGAAAAACCGACGCAACCACTGCCGCCAAAGATTCGCAATATCACCGTTGTACCGTTATGTGATAATAAACTCAAACACATCAGATTCGATCATAAGGATTTGTTAGCACTATTGGCTCGATGGAAACTGATTCCAGAAGAATTCGGTGGAAAAGATGGAGGAAGTTCTTTATATAGCAACAATCATTTTGAAGAAAACCCATACGACGCTTGGAATATTTTATTCGACATGAAGAAAATCAATGAACTCAAAAGACCAAACCAGCAATTTCACCGTATGATTGTGTGCGATAGCGTTTCGGCTTCGGTACTATTCGAAATACCAAAACATGAGAAGACCGAATTCAATCGCGAACGAATCAAACAAAAACTTGAAGCCGGTGATTACACGTATATCATCCCACTTGATCCCGGTGTGAACACATACTATGCTGGATTTCGTCGGAACATTGAAACTTGTGTCGAAGTAAGTTGATTAAATAATTTTTTTTTTTTAAATTTAAATTTCATAATTTTCTAGATTTAATGTATTGATTGTTTTTATTTTGGTTTTATCAAAGGAAAACATCAAAATATCACCGAAGCAATATCATTGGGGTGCCCGACAAGGTATTCGCGACAAAAGAGCAAAGCACATGACAGCAACATTCACGAAGATGGAACAGTCCGATCGCGAGGAAAACTATCTAGTGATACCATCACCGCGCGGAAACGGCTGGATATACTATCTCGATCATCGATTGAAAATGATGCAGGATGGATTGGCGGCATATGCTCGGCGACGATATGCACGGCTATCGTTGGACAAGTACATCGACTCACAGCACGAAACCGATTGGTTAGCAAAATCATTGACAAAGAATAAGCCATCGCTGTTTACCATCGGAGACGCGGACTTGCCAGCCAATTCGCCAATCGGTAAGAAGAAGACCAAACGATGCCCGGGAACACGACGTCTTGAAAACAGCGTTAAAAAATTACATCATTCAGATGTCGTTAGAGTGGACGAAGCTTACACATCGCAACACTGTGCCAGTTGCATGGTGAAGTGCTCGAAAGAAACGAAAAAATTCCGATTCAAAGCATGCAAGAATTGTCCACGCAATGCTCCAATACCAGCGGAGATTGCCAAATACATGTCGTTGCCGCCGCTAATTGTGTCAAAAAAGGGCTCACGACGCAAAACGTTGGACCGTTGTGTGAAAAAGTTGATCGACAGAGGTCTAGTAAATCAAGCAAATCTGCCAAAAGAATCCAAACCAGAGCGATTAGCGTCACCCAAAATGTACTATTGGAAAAACTGGCCGCTAAACTCTGTGAATGCACTTCAAATGGGAGACGATGCTGCGAACACCAATGATCATCAACAACAACAACAACAACAACCGGAACAAGAACATAAATATCGAGAGCTGCGATCGAGACATTGTTGCGGCAAGGTGCATAATGTACAAAGGTACAATTTTCTGTATTAATTTATTTTGAATAATATTAACTCAAATTTATTGATTACAGCTCTATGTTTCATTTTCGATTTAACATTGATAAATTCGTTTGTGAGACCACCACAACCTCGAAGACCACCGTATCGTAAAAAACCACCGGTACGCAGAAAACCAAGAGAAAATGCAAATGTTGTTCCAGTCCAAGTAAACAATAATGATCAACCAGCATCAATCAATTGAAGAAAAGAAAACATGTTAACTAAAATAGTTATTACCAAAGCTTGTATTTTGTGGCTTTGATTTGTACATAGTATCTGAGATATTATGTATAAAGTACCCCACGGTAAGAATAATTTTATCAACTAATTGATTACAATTTTTATTGGTGTTGATTTTAAAGCTCTATTTTAATTAACATATTGATTTCAATTCAATGGAAATTTTATGCATAACTCTTTTTGTCTCTTTTTATCATTTCATTATGACGTTAAATTCGACTGAAACAACACACAACTGCAACCCCGCATTCGACCATCAATATATACCCCGAAAATGGATAAATTTGCCCCAACAATTGTTTAGTGGGTAGAAAAGTCGTTGGATACTATACAAAGATTGAACTACACGAATGAAAATAAACTTTTTAAGAATAATTTTTCAACTGAAAGCCATCGGCATTTCGATAACAAATTAGTCAGTGTGGGGATATTCTTTGATCGATTTGGGTCAAGCATATCATTCAAATGTTGAGCCAGGTTTTGACCGAAAAATTGACCCATTTGTGAGTTTTGACAGAAACACTAGAAATTCTAACTACCGAAATTGACTAACCATTTTTCTCTTGAACGCCGCTTATTTTCCACACTTCAGTGCAGATTTTGTATTTTTATTAGAAAATATAAAAACAATTTGAAATGTGAATTTCATGATGTTTTTCACTGTAAATAACCTTGTAACATACCTTATTTGCCGCCAAGAATTCTTTTAGCGAAATACGTTTTAAAAACATTTTCATATCGAAATATCGCTGAATTTTTTTCATTGTGATTAATCAATCTGCTATATGAATTCCACATTTAAATGCAAAAAATAACACAAAATAAGATAAATTATTTTCTCTTTATTTGTCCATGAATCACCCAGCTTGTGAAAACTTTTACAATGTTTAAAACTACATTTTTGTTTTATGAAATGTGTCTAACTATATGCTAAATTATGTTGAACTAAATTTAAAACAATATTCTTGGAACAATGAACAATTGTCATTTCTAATTGTGTCAGTATGTGCAGGAATTCGATAATTTTTCAAAACATCCCGTCCCCTTTATATACTTAGGGGGTGAAATAGATGTTTGCCTTGATAGTAGTTTTTTTTAGCGTAAAACATTTTTGAATTAGTTTAACATCTTGTAAAATATGACATTTCCAATGAAATCCGTTCGATTGCAGCGCAAAAAGCATTGCTGTGTTATTTTTGTGATGTTTTCTTTTACTAAATTGCCATACGATGTAAAATATTTCATTAAAAAGATTCAGAACTTGCGTTGTAAAAATGTAAATTGTGACTTTTAACTCGAAAGGTTACTCTTCAGTTTGGTATACATGTATATAAAAATCGGCGGCATAACGAAGATAATTATCTTTGTATCAAAATTTGAATATGACGTTGAAACGAATTGTTTCGATATTGTGTATTATGTTGTAGTTGAAAATAAATAATTTGATAGAAACTCAATAGTATAAATGAGTTTGGATCGTAGCGACCTTAAAACTTACAAGCAATTAGTTGGTATGAAAAGCATACTTGATTCTGATAAAATTGATAAATTGTACTTAAATATTTAACTGGAAATGCAAATTTTTATTTTTTTTTTTCCCTTCAAATACAATTGATAAATTTTCCAAATCGAAAATAATACTTTTCCGATTTGGATGCCATATATTGCTGCACACTACATTCCGCGCTCCAGCATTAATCGATTTGATAACAGATGTGATTTTATTTCAAATAATTAGAATTCATCGTCTTGGATTGAGAAGTAAAAGCACACTTTTATTGTCAAAATTATGATTGCAAATGCCGAAAATTGTGTACGTAGTGCTTAAACAGCATCCAAACGGCGTTTATAAAGTGAACATTTTGGAGGTTTAAAACATATGTATTTACTTTAATTTTATGATTTATTGCATTTGAATAATTTCACGCGAGTTCTTTTTTGTGTCAAATTGTGCATGGTTCGAAACCTGAAAAGTACTTCAAATTTAATGTGTATGCGGTGATCGGTAATAGTATTTGAATGTCCGGGAATGAATGTGAGTCTTCTCGTGAGAGTTTATTGAAATGTAACACCGCCATACAAAAAATACTTATGGCGGTGTTACATTTCAATATACTCTCACGAGAAGACTCACATTCATTCTCGGACAATCATTTTAGTTTCGTATGTAAAATTCGTACAAATATGTTTATTTCAAATAAACTGCTTAAAATTTACCCACTTGATATAAATTTTCAAACAAATTGTATTTAAGACAAAAAACAATCGTTAAAACTTTGGTTGTAATTAATGCAATATTTTTTTTCTTCCATTTTTGAAATCGGAATTATTAACAAATCTTCTTTGAAAATAACATCGATTTATTTTTTATTGAGTCGATCCATTCAAGTATCGTTTGGCGCAGAATATTCCGACGGTATCAGATTTCTAACGGCACAGCGATAATCTCTTCATTTAATAATAACATAGAACATTTGACGATACATATTTTGTTAGTTTTTATGTTGAAAAAATATTGTTTTTTTTCGTCCGCAATTCGGTTTCTAAAGTAGACGACAGCAGACTTTTTTAGATTTTGTCGGTTGTTGTACATCAGTTGAACGATTTTTCTTACGTGCTGATATATCCCTGATTAGATCATAAAATATCTAGAAAAGAACAACGAAATTAGTGATTTGAAACAATGGAAAATGTACAAAAATTGAGCTGTAAAAAGCGTTGGAATATTTTTCGAAAGAATTTGTGTTCTGACTGTGATTAATACACCAAATTATGGTATTTTATTTCTATATAAAGGGAAATCACTCAAAAACTAAATGAAAAATAATAGAAGAAATGAAAAAAATAAATAAAGAAATTTTCAAAAAAAACATTTTTTTGATTTTTAAGTAGTTTCCCTCTTCGACAAAGCGAAAATTCTTGCGAAAAATGATAAAGAATAAAACTCATGATATAAATTAGAGGTAAAAATGGAAAAAAATCTTAAAATCATTCAAATTCCAAATGTTTTTAATTTAATAATTTTAAAATTTCCATCCATCCAATAGTTTATTTAAACAAAGTTAGTTTGATAAAAAAATAATGGGTACAAAAAGCAAGCGTAAGTGTGGAATGATAAAAAACATAAAACAGGTGCATTCTAATCTTACAAGTGAAATACACATTGCTTGAAAAATAGATAAATGAATGGAACATATAAAAAAAGATAAAATTTTGGATGAAAGAGGGAGGATGAACAGAGCAAAAGCGATAAAAACTTATTTGTTTTAAATAAATGATAAATTTATAAGCACCTATGCAATGGAATTAGAGTAGTGTGCATTTAAGTCTCCGCCGTTTGCTTTTATCTTTGGCTCTTCCGTTTGTTGTTTTTGAGTCCTCCGTTTTACGCGATCGAATATCTCTCATTAGATCAAAAAATACCTAAAAATTTTACACAATTTATCATCAGTGATGATTCATAGGCTCTAATTTATTGTTTGTTTGGTTTTTCTTTAAATATTTTTTGGGAGTAAATTTTTTTTTCTATAATCTTGAAATGCGCATAAAATGTCAAATATTCGGGATCAAAAGGATATGAAACAGAACATAAATCGTTCGAAGGCTGAAATTCCATTCTAATAGGTACCTTACGATATCAAATTAATGAAATTGAAAGGTATTAAAAGACAGTATTATGATAGGATATTAATGGAATGATTCGGATACATAACAAAAAAAAAGAAGAACAATAACAAAAGCGCTTTAACATTCACAAGTAATAAAAATGTGTTCGAAGAAATGTTCAAAGTTGTACGCATATTGTGTGATTTTAACAAACATTCAATTAGTAATCGTTTTGTTCAACGTGTGAGAAATTACGGTAATTGTGCGTGCATTTCTCATCAACATCTCATCATCTTTTTTTTTTTAAATGTATGTGTAAGTGTGTGTGTTATTATTTATATAGCTTGAAGCATACCTTGTCGACATTCTCTCTGGTTTTGGCCGACGTTTCGACGTATGGTACACCCCACTGTTGAGCTCGACCTTGACATTCGGCTAATGGAACTTTTCGCTTGTCATTTAGATCACTTTTGTTGCCAACTAATAAAAACGGTATGCTTTCATCGTTCTTTACACGGAGAATTTGCTCTCTAAATTGGAAGATGTAACGAATTAGAATTTTTCGAATAATTTCAAAAAAGAATGGAGAAAAAATTTAAGAAAGTACCGAAACTCCAATGTTGATTGAAAACTTTCGTCGTCTGTTATTGAGAACACACATAGGAAACCTTCTCCGCTACGAAAGTAGTTGTCACGAATGGCAGCATAATCTTCTTGCCCAGCTGTATCGAGAATATCTATTTGAACCTCTTCGCCATCTAGTACAACCTGTAATAGTAATAATAGCAAACAAAAAAAAAGATCGACACAAATTAATTGCTAATGACGGCGAACAAATCAATGAAATTCCGCGATAAAATTTAGTACTTTCACATTCCCGATGTAACTATCAGTGGTATACTTTCATCGTTCTTTATACGTCAAATGATGATTGAGATAAATTGTTATCAATAAAAAATTTAAAGAAATTACAATAGTATTACACATTTTGCGATGCACTGTGCATTTATGCATGGTATTTAGCAGAGCATATACTGAGCATAGATACATATCCGGGATATTTTGTGAGTATCCGATATTTATCGCAGCCAGACATTATAATGGAGTGAAAACAATAGAAGTGATTGTTATAGGTCTAAGTATAAAACCATTTACATTACTACAATCACTATAACAGTAACTTCTATTGTTTTTACTCTATTTCAAAGTCTAGCTCCAATGAATATCGGATACTGACAAAATATCCAGGATATATATCTATGCTTAGTATATGCTCTGGTATTTAGTACGAGAATTTAAATGTTTGATATATCTTTTAATTTCATTAAAGTAGTACAAATTGTTTACTTAGCATTGATTTCATAAAATATTTACGATTTTACTGAATGAATCGAACCTATTTCAAATTGCTGAATGGATTTAATGAAAATTCTACACTGATGCACCGTGTGAAAACGCCGGTATTTTACAAGTCAATGTGCGGTATAATTTATGGGCTTAATGTTTTTATTTGATGTGGTTGAAAGAATTGAATGGTCTATTATTATGCATTCATCTATTTTCGCAGTTTATTCAATAAAAACATCATGAATACTGAATACACTGCATAGATGCATCGTTTACCAGAAGATGGAATACACTTTGTTTTGTGTTAATTTGAAAAATAATAAATGGCAGCCATTTACAATGGTGAATGAGAAATTAATTATATACCTTTTTGCGATAGCTGTCGGCCTTTGTTGGTTCGTAGTCTTCGACGAATTCGTCATACATGAATTGAAGTGTCAAGGCCGATTTTCCAACGCCTCCGCTACCGACCATAATAACTTTGTGTAGTGCAGGTCCAACCGCTGGTTTTTTCGACATTTTTCGATTTGGTCACTTAGTTCTCGGTAGAAATATAAAATCTGAAATTACAATCAAATAAATGCTAAATTACTTGCTCCCAATGAGAATTAGCAAATTATTATGTTTTTCCATTCGAACTGTAAATAACAAGCATTCTGTTGCGTTTATTGACCTACAACCTTCACCTACTCCATTGAAATGCATGCAATACATAATCTTGCGTGGGTAACTTTTTATGTGCAGACTCTGCACACATACACCACATTAAACATGAACATTTGAACATGAACATATGATTCAGTTGTCTCATCATCAGATAACTGTTTTTCTATGAACTTCATGCCATTTAAATGCAATGCGTACTCGATTGTGAGATTGAGTAAAGAAAAAAAATTGTTACACCAGTTTCTCTCTATGTGTACCTCTGTAGGTGCTTTCTTACAATTCGCAAAAAACTGGATTCTCTCACACATGCGTTCCACATATTTACGATGAAATGAGATTCCAGTTATGTAGACTTAAAAACAATGCAACAGACTATGTGTATATATAATTATAACAATTTTTCTATTTCTACACATTCTTCCTCTCTCTTAATCACGATCAACGGTTTTTATCTCGACAAGCAATGTCTTTTTTTTATATCTCGAATAAATTGGTGACAATGCTTATGGGCTCACATCAGAAATACGAACTTAACAGACTAGATGCTCATCAGCAACCATTAAAATCCCAGTTTCTTTTCATCTTTGTGATTTTTCTATGTTCTCTTTGTCTTCTTACACGTGTATGTTATCTTTTTTTTTCCTTCAGTTACTTGGAACATCGAAAACAATTATGTTTTCTCCAACATGGGTAAACATCGTTAACAAAATTTTTAAACACAATTTTAAAATTACATAAATAACGAACGGACGGTATTCTGCTTATTCGAATATCTGCATGCGAAAGTTTGAGACTCAAAGCAATTCGAGCTGATTTATGGAACGCACATTTTTCGGTCAAATGGGGTCAAAACTTCATTTTGGGAATAATGAATAAAGTTGAGCGCTAACATAATTTAGATGTTTCTTGTTGAAACGCTTTTAGTGTTTTCTGTGCCAAATGAATAATTAATAATTATTCGTTTGATGAAAGAAAATTTAATTTCAACGAATAAAGTTATTCATGAAGAGTTTGATGCCATTTGCAGAGCGATCTTTTCTCTTTATGCTCTATTGAGTCTGAACGCTGGGCGATATGCCGTGAAAAATATGAAAAATGTAACATAGAAAGTGCCTTTATAAATTTTGGATCGACATGATTGAATAAATGATTTGTGCAGTCACGAACAATAACAATGAAACGCATGAAAGAAACGATCTTTTTTTAAAAGTCGCTTTTACTCATTTCTATTTTCACAGAACACATGGAGCGATTCATGTATAAAATGATTCAAATTTCATTTTTTTATTTCATCAATTTTGTATTCTGTGTAAAGAGCTCGACATTTGTCGACACATTTGTGTGTATTCGCATAATGATCGTGACTTATCATTGATTCATGCGATCAATGGTAGTTAATTGGTTTTATTAAATGACAAATTTCGAGTACAGAGATGCTGATAGTTTGTGAATCAGACTCTTAAGCATTTAAGAAAGCATGCGGGTTCAAACGCATTGCATTAAGAATGCCGCATTGTTGAGCTTCGGATATTTTTGGAAATTTTGTTAACTTTTTCGAAAAATTGATTAATTAGTGTTCATTCACCTGAATATTTTTCAATTTTTTCCTTGAAAGTAAACACTTTCCAGGCATCCGAAAAGTGTTTATGTGTTTTTTCAGAATACTGGGTGTATTTTAGGGTGAATTCGAAAAAAAAAATCAAACATTTTGATGGTTTGTTAAAATTACGTCATTTTCCATCAGAGATGTTGTAGGGAGAGCTTCAGCAGTAACCATATATGTTACTTCCTCTATCAAATGTTGAGTGGATTAAAGTACATACATTCAGCAAACGTATTGCATCGAGACTTGAAACCGAGCAATTTATTGTTAAACACAACTTGTGGTTTAAACGTATGTTATCAGATACCGATATGATTGTTTGCTTCCGATAAGATATAATGGCGACATTTCCCAATATCAATCCACTATACTTCACCTAAGTAGTTGAACAATAGTTGTCACTGCTCTTCACTCAATTTCATAGCAATTTCTTTCAATCTTAATTTTGAGATTTGTGATTTTGGTTTGGCGAGTGTTACCATTCATACCAAAAGTACGATGGACGCAACTGTTCCGGAATGCCGATCAGAAAGCGAACAACTTACATGATCGAATGCTGACGTTCAATCCACACAATTGAATTACGGTTGAAGGGGTATTGGCCAATCCAGAAGATGAAAAAAGTCAAAATGACGAAAAAATTACAATTTTCCTATAATTTCAGAAGCTAGCCGAACAACGCCACTAGATAAGATTGCGTTCACAATTTATTTCAAGAATGGGAGAGAATTGAAGATGCTCGTGAATTTCGAACCACTCTAATTGACTATATATCATAAACGATAAAAGATCCTATAGAAGGGTCACGAAGAATTACTTTTTATAGCCCAAGAATCTATCCGAATATCTTTCATCGTTCCCAATAGTGAGTTACAGCTTTTGATATTATCTATTTCTGCACAATGGGCCGTATTTCGTTTCCAAATTGGTTTTTGCCGCATTTACTTTATCTTTGTAGTTTTATGGGTGCGTGTTTAATTTACAACCTGATGATTTATATGTTTTTATGGCATTTTTATCAAAAATAACTAAATATAGGGGACGGTGGTTATTTGACAAAATTTTTGGTTTCATTGTAAATGTTGTTTGTTCGATTGGATTTGTGGCCTTCATATAAGTTTGGGAAAACTGGAGGCAAAATTCACAACAACGTTTCACCATAATAGATATATGGTTTCATCCATTCACATACTTTTCAAAACACCATATAATATAGGCCAACTGTATGTATGTTATTTTTTTCATTTTCTCTCGGACAAATTGTTATAAACATTAACGTATAGAAAACAAACAAGCTTGCATTGAGTTTGAAGCGAATTGCAAAATCTGGTGAACAAATCAAAATTTACCCAAAGTATAAAACTGAGCTCATTGTTTTTTTTACAGCGAAGTTAACGGTATCCCGTTTTTCATTTCCACGGTATGATCATACAACGCTTAAAACAATAAACACTCACACCATTGGCTAGCAATTACGTAACAAACGGAATAGTATAAAAGAGAATCGCGCGCATGTACACACGTACGTACACACCATTTATTGCATTAAATGTGCAAATTAGCTTTCGAGAAAAACCGGCAAACGCAAAACACGGCGCAGTGCTGTGAAATGAAACAGTTCCATGCATCGTACGAATTAAATATAGTACGTCTACATCAGACACGATACATCATACACACGTCTTATTTACACAAACAGTCGAATCGTTTGAGCATATGACTCATTTTCAATTGGTTTGTTTAGAGATATAAAATTAGACGTGATTTCAAGCAAAGCATTTTTAAACAACTATTATGTTTGAAAAACGTTCCAAAATGTTTTTGTTATTTCGAACTCAAAGCTCTCACAGCAAAAGATCAATTAATCAAATAATTTTTTCCTTTCTTGTTGGCCATGGTGGGAATTGATGCCCATTTCATTTTGTCAACAAGTGTTATATGGTCGCCGTTTTTATGACGGCATTTTAAACTTCAATTAAATTTTTCATTTTATCCCATATTCAAATGTCGATGCATTGAATGTACGCCTCAAAGTAATACCATTAAATTCAAATCATATACGCGTTCTAGATACATTTTCAATATGAATAATTCGCTTATGAAAAAAATGAAATGAACGAACGAGCTTAGTAAAATGTTGATCTGTCAAATTCTGTCCCTTTCACACCCACCGCCGTGATATGCTCAACCATTGCTGGTGTAAGCGAGCATGCTATATAACAGTGCAGTTGCGTTATTCGCTCTTAACGATCATGACCTAATCTCCTGTGTGAAAGAAAACCACTTGAATAAACAATGAAACGCTTCGTGATAATAATTATTATTATCAATAGATCCTGTGTCGATGCGATAGCTTACTCATCTTGTGTTTGACGTTCGCACAATCATCGTCAACGCCATACAAATCAGTTGGAGTTTTTGATAATATTCAAATGTTGGTTTTACATGTCACTGACATGATCCAATTTTAATAGACAAACTGCTGTTCGTACTAAGCAATTTTTTTAGCTTAGGCGTGTCACATATTCACATGTCATTGTGCGCATTTACAAAAATGAAAAATGTATGAAGGTACTTTGTGTCAAAATATGATCAAAATTCATTTGGTGACACATCGAATGTATTATCCAATTAACACGCGGGGTATTTTGGAACAGAAAATGTGACACATGATGATGACGTGTTTTCACATAACTTTGCGACTGCTAATTTGATCGAATTGTCTATCGAAAAAAAAAATCTTCAATTTGCTATACGAAATTCGGATGAATTTTAATGTCTGCAGCAAACGGTTAGGAACCAAAGTTTCAAAGTCTTTGCATACATTTTATATGCGTGGATTTGTAAACAAAAAGATGATGGTGCGTAATTTGATTGTAAACTATAATTATGCAGTAGCAAATATTGTGTAAATAAATGAACGATTTGTAATGAAAACATGCTATCGTAATATAAGCGAAAGAGGTAATAAAAAAAAGTTTATTGGATAAGTTACAAAATGATCGATAAAAAGGTGAATTCGATCATCTTCGCAGCGGGTATAATCTTGTTTTCGATGCAATGAGAAATCAACCGTCATGTTTAAAAAGTGAGGCATATACATTTTTATGGTTTTTTTATCACGTAAACTCTAATCAGAAACGAATCAAAGGAAAAACGTTCAATACTACTTGAACGACCGTTGATAACAAATACGCATTCGAATGTGTTTATCGAAGGGGCTCAACGATACGCCCGAAAAAATGAGTCACCGCGAAGCGTGCGGCAATTTTTAATTACATTTACGTTGCATGTCAAACGGCTTTTTCCAAGTTTTTTTTTTGTTCCTTCTGTCCCTCCACATTCTTAGATAAATCGACAATTGTTAGTTAAGGTTTCAAGATGAATATTTAACGTGTCTATATCATTTGCTGAAATTGAAAGCACCGCTAAAAAAGCATTAAAAAAATGTTTCTGTCACAATGGAACGTTAATGCTTTGTTTGACATGAAGAATGCATGATTTGTGGCTATTTTCGTATTTCCTGCAACAATTGAGCGCAAAGATGAATGTACAAAGTATGTATGTTTACGCAATGCTGGTTGAGTTTCAGATATCGAATTAATCGCATTCGAAATTGTTGATTGATGTGAAATCAATGGTTTTGCTTACTTGATTGCCATAGACAATTGTTTTGATTATAATATATTTTCAAATCGAAAAACTTCGTATGTTTGAAACAGGCGTTGCCCATACACAATTGCAAGAATGTTTTTTTTAAAACCGAATTCGCGAGAAACACACTCATGCAAGACATTCTTGTGTGTTGCCTTTTAAAACAAAAATTTCTTCTTCTTTTTTTCGAATGTTATGCCTTTATGTTTTCCGTATTCTTTTCCCAAATTCGTTCTTTCTATATCAATAACCATAGCCATATATGTGCAATGCGTACACACAACAGTGGGACATATACATGCAGGAGAAATTTCATGAAGAAGAAGAAGCAGAAGTAGAAGTTGGAGAAATAACACCATAAACATTCATTTCAATCAATAAAACACGCAATATGGGTATTCAACTTACGAAAAAAAATGGAATGAAAAAAAAACTTTTACTCATCACAACTTACTGTATGAAAATTGTATATGCTGAGTGTTGAACAACGTATGTTCCACCAAATGCTTTTTCACGGTAGATTTTGGGTAAATGCGTAAAAAAAATGCTTTTTGTGACGATCAAAATTTCACCAGTATCAATTAGCTTTCCAATCAAAAACAAGTTTCCTTTGATTTAGAAAACACTGCACGCATACACACACTCAAAATGTCAAATCGATAAAAGAATGCCACTCTTTTTTTTTTTCTTCTTTTACTTCATAAATGAATGAACGAACAACAACAAAATTGTCTTTGTTTTTATTTTCTGAATAGTAAATTAAGTATAATAACTCAAATTAATCCAAATGAAAATGTTCATGAAATCATTTAAATAAAATTATATTGATGGAAGGAATACAAATACACACGATGCTACACTCCCAGCAAAATACACAAACTGAACGCGTACACCACTGAATTTACACTAAACGAAATTCTGCTTTTTTTCCATTGCTTGTCCGCAATGTATCTACTCTTTCTTCCACTCTTCGTCGCTTACTCATACGACTTCAGTGTAAACAATTGACAGTGAAATATTCTATGTATTGTGCTGAGTAGCTGAATTGAACGATAGCCACTTCACAGTTAATTTGGAAGACACTTTGAAATACACTGTGAAAACCATGCGCATTATTAGCAACCATACGAAAAATTAGAAAATGAAATAGAAACCAACAATTGAAAAGAAATTAGTGTTTTTTTCATAATATTGATATTTCCCTAGATGGTGGTCGTCAACATGGCAATCTCGAGTAAATATGGTATGGTAAAGCAATCATAGATGGCGCCAAAAGCGTGAGAGTGTTTTCAGTAAAAAAGCGGCAAAAGTGGACATTTACGTCAATTTATAATTGTAACCATTGTTGATACAACAACTTCTTTCAAAGTTATTTTGAACTGAAAAAAGCGAACAGAAAAAGACACAAAATGAGCTCAAACATCGAAACCACAAACTTGCCATGGTAGATAATTCTTTTGATTTTCAATATTATTTCAATATTTAATTAAATTCCAAAATTTCAGGATTGAAAAGTATCGACCAACACAGCTGAACGAGCTCGTTTCACACGAGGAAATCATAGCAACCAGTAAGTATTGGTAATATTTTAGTTTTACCAAAATAATGTTATTGATTTTAAATTTCAGTTTCGAAATTCATTGACCAAAATCAGTTGCCACATTTGTTATTCTATGGACCTCCTGGCACGGGTAAAACCACGAGCATTTTGGCATGCGCTCGAAGATTGTATGCACCAAAGGATTTTCATTCGATGGTACTAGAGCTGAATGCATCCGATGATCGTGGTATTGGAATTGTTCGTGGACGAATTTTGGATTTTGCATCGACCCGAACAATCTTCTCGAATGGATTCAAATTGATCATTTTGGATGAAGCAGACGCCATGACCAATGATGCACAAAATGCTTTACGAAGAGGTATCACTGATTGAAATTTATTGAATTTATGATTTTAATGTAATCTTATACACCGATGTTCGAATTTCAGTCATCGAAAAATATACCGATAATGTTCGATTCTGCATCATTTGCAACTATTTGAGCAAGATTATACCGGCACTTCAGTCTCGTTGCACGCGATTTCGATTTGCTCCGTTGGCCGAAGAGCAAATTGTTCCACGGCTCGATTTTGTGATTGATCAAGAAAGGTTTGTTTGGTTCTAATCGCTTTGAGAGTTTCATGTTTGATTCGATAATAATTTGCAATTAATCTGCCCACAGACTTAACGTTTCGGACGATGGCAAGAAGGCACTCATCAAATTGGCAAACGGTGACATGAGAAAAGTGTTGAACGTTCTTCAAAGTACGTGGATGGCTTACAAAAATATCACCGAAGAAACGGTTTATTTGTGTGTTGGCCACCCTACGCCGAGCGACATCAAAACAATCATGAATTGGCTCATGTCGGTTGAATCGTTTGAAGAATGTTTCGATAGTAAGGACTCACCAGTGTTACCTTTTATCCAAAGATAATGTAATAATTCATTTTTTTTTTTTAACAGAAATTCAAGATCTGAAAATGCAAAAGGGTTTGGCCTTAGAAGACATTCTGCGTGAAGTGCATCTTTTTGTTATGCGAAGTATGTATTTCTCATTTAATTTCCAGCAAATTCTTGACAAAAATATTTTTTCTCCATTTCCAGTTGAACTTCCGCCTCGTGTAATGAGCTGTTTATTGATTAAGATGGCCCGAATTGAGCAAAGTTTAGCGGCCGGATGTTGCGAAAAACCGCAGCTTTCGTCATTTGTGGCTGCCTTTCAAATTGCACGAAATATGGTCTCGGTATAAGCAAATTGCCTTCAGCAACACCTCATAATTTTGAATTTTTAACATTTTAATGAAAGGAAAATATGTCGCCATTCAATGATGAAAAAAAAAATCGTTTATTCTTAAGTTAAAATATAAAGCTCAAACGAATAATAACACAATATTTTTGTTTACAAGTTAATCGAACGTATTCATTACATCACATTTCAAATGGTATTCGCCATTCTAAGTCCCAATTAATTATGACTGCTGTCAAGAGCTCAAAGAGGTTTTCTAATCATTTCCCGAATTGATAATGTAAAAATTTAAAATGTCATTTTTATGGAAACAAAGAATTTCACGATTAATCTTGTGAATTATTTTGAGCATTCGGCGCATCACTGATGCCGGATTCATCACGGAATGAATCATCGTTCACAAGTCTTTGACGTTCAAGATACATGGATGCTTTCATATTGCGCAATTGATGGTCGCTGACCAATTTCAACATTGCAAACACCGTCAAACCAACTGATGCTGCAAACGAACTCCATGCACCGAACTGGGCAATGCCCATTTCAAAATGATAACCAGTTGTATTGATATGATCTTGTTCTTTTGTGAAATTTTGACCAGCTGCCACTTCACACCTACAAAAAACGAAAATCAAAGAAAAAGTTAAAAAAAAACTTTTTCCTGGTTTGAAATATGGTACTTACGACGGGAATCGAAGTGTCATTTGGGAACACCACGTTATAAACCCAAGTGTGATCATGATGGCCGCTCCAAATGCCATTAAACAGGATAGAAAACCAAGAACCGCGTCCAAAAACAGTCCCAAAAATGATGAATCCAATTTTTTCAATTGTAACCGCGTCATTCTATCCAATGATAATAATAAATGTGAAAGAAGAGTGTTTTTTTCTCTTTAAAAATATTATATCTCACCTATAGATCTCAACAGTTGACACAAACATCAGGAAGAACCCAGTGATAATGGTGAAATTGCAATAGAATTTTGACGCCCATTTTATATCAAATAAACCTGTATCTTCGTTCCAGTCACCAATGGTGAACAACAAACAATGCCCATTAAAGTCTCTGACATGACACAGCATTGGCACTACAATGCACAAGGACAATATAAAAACGACGATATGACCAGCAATCTGGCTTAATATCAACACATTTGACAATGCCATTTTCTTCACAAAACACAACTATTCATGCTGAAGACGATTATTTATATTCAATAAAATTCGGTCACAAATTGAGATATGATGTTGTGCGTAGTTACTTAGAAAATCTTTTGTGTTTTGATTGCGTCGCTGTACTAAACAATAATATTTTGACAGTATTTGACAGATTGAATTTAGTACACACACACACAAAAAAGAAACGTACTTGCGCATCGGCAAACGAATATTGACTGCTTCACAGGGGCGAGTCGGATTGAAAACAATTTTGCACCTGCTTATTTCGATGATTTTGTATTGAGCTAATATTTATTGTAAATCGATCTAGATGATACATGGCATTAAACTAATAACAACATATTCTTTTACAACTGAATCACTTAAATCAACACGAATACAATGAGGTGATATAAATAAAGCTTAATGAGATGTAATGAAACGCACGAAGAAATTGATTTCATTGAAAACTTGAACAAAAATGTACATCATTACATCTAAATGAATGGATGGGGGTAGGTACCTTGTTATAAATAGAACAAAAATGCATCGATGAGCTCCTCAAAACTCGTTTATGAATGAATAAACAATATGATGATATTTGAAGCTATATGTTCTTAGTCTATTTATAAAGTCGTTGATTGGAGATCTCTGGTTTTGGCGCATTCTAAGTCATTTTGAAATTATTTCTTAAAACTATCCGATTATAAATTAGACGCTATGCTCTATTCGTTCTTAAAAATACAATATAAATACAATATTACGGGCAAAATGTTTATCGTCAGTCAATATTTCTGGCATCAGAGAGATTTTTTTTTTGAATTCTTTACATTCGCTTCACCGACAGTTATACAAAAAAAAAAAAAAAAAAAAAAACAATAAAATACATTAGAATAAAATTGTTTATAAAAGTCATTCACTGGGCTTAAAGAAGAGGTTTTAAAATGATGGCAGCTTAATCATTTTTATGGGATCGTTTGATATGTTCGGCCAGATATCGTCGTTGATTGGCCACATACGTGCATTTATCGCATTTAAAATTGAACAATTTGGAGTGTGTCAACATGTGTTTGGTGAGATTATTTCGCACTGCAAAGCCTCGCCGACATATTTCACAAAAGTAATTCTGTTCCTTTGTGTGCATTGTCATGTGAATCTTTAATTTGGACCTCGAACGAAACTTTCTATCGCACACCTGACACTCATATTTGAATTCATCGACATGGATCTTCTTATGCATATACAATGCCGAGTCGGTGGAAAACTTTTTCTTACATTCATCGCATTCAAAAATGCGCGCTTTCATATGTACGCCACGCAAATGATTCGTAATCACACGCTTACATGAAAAGTGATTACCACAAATGTCGCATTCATATTTTTTGATCTTTTTGTGAAACGAATCGATATGGTATCGATAGCCCCCCGAATCTGCGAATGTTTTATCACATATTTCGCAATAATTTCGTGCACGTCCTTTTGCCGTCTTCTGATTTCCATTCACTGGTGCTGCATCGTTTTGTTTTTCTGGTGTGGCAATTTTCTTGGCCGATGGCTTTTTGCTGGCATCACTTTCCACTTCGGCTTTCTCGGGCGATTTTTTCTCATTACTTATGACCTCCTCTTCAGTGGTTTGTTCTTTGATTATATTATTTGAGTTGAGGGCATGATTCAACATATGGCTTATAAGTTCAACTCGAGCCACATAGTCGTCGCACATTTCACAGTGAAAAATCAAATCATTGTGAGCATCTTTTATGTGATCAACAAGCAGTGACTTTGTTGTAAACTCCATCGAACAGTAATCACAAGCAATTTTTGGTGATCTGAAATGTAGAAAACAGGTAAAATACGATATATTTATTTGAGCACCATTTGTTTAGCACTTACATTTGTTTTTCAGTTTTACTGAAGCTATTTTCCTTCACATTTTTATCATCGTTCACCACGTCCGGAGATCGTTCGATTTTGCTGCTTTTTGACCGTGTAATGTTTTCCTTTAAAATTTCAGCCTTTGAATTTTTTACTACTTTTTTCGGTGTCTTGACCGTTCGTGCTTTCGTTTGACTGGGTTTGGGTTTTTCTTCATTCTTTCGTTTTCGTGGAATCGGTTCTTTTTTTGATCTGTTTCTGGTGCTACTTTGTACTTCGACATTTCTCAATTTTGGCGATTCATCTACGGAGTCATCTTCATTTTGATCTATTTTATCCGACTTTTTTTGATGCAAAACCTCCTCTTTGTCTTCATTTATTGGATGCAAAATATCGTCAACTAAACTTATATTTTCGGCCGATCCGATGCGTTCAAGTTCTTTGACAGCTGCATTTGCAGCTATTTCACTTTCAGCCTCGTTGATTTCTTTCGATTCGTGCATGTTGAGTATTTCATTTTCAATTTCACGTGAAAATGAACTTTGCAATTCCAGCAATTCACTTGGATCGCCGACCACTTGGTTTTTAACGACATGATGTTCATACGCTTCACCGTCTAACGTCTCCAAAAATCGTGAATTATTTATCTGGCAAGTTGTGTATAGCTGATGGAATGCAAGCAATGTTGTTGCACACATCGAACAGATTTTCTTTGGCAGATAATCCGATTTGCGAACCTAAAACATTGCATTGATAAAATATTAATTAACACAATTAAAAATACAGAATGTAGTGGCAAATTTATGCTCGAATTGTCAGAATTACTCACTGTAATCGGTAAATATTCATTTATTTTGGAAGCAAAATCAAAAGCACTACCACTACCATTGTCATCGAATATTGAATTTAAATTGGTGCTGATTACTCGGCATATTCGGCAGCGTTCTTGCACATCGAATTTATACGAAATAATTCCATTTGCCGGGATATTCATGACGACCAAACAATATGCAAGGATATATTTATATATGCAGAACGATGCACCGAAAACAATAGCACTTTGTTGATTATAATATTAAATTGCGGTTATTTTATCATTATTCGGAAAATAATGCAGAAGACAAATGGAACGATTTATATATTTGAAATTAAGTTGATTTTGCATATGCGGAACAAATCAACTAGAAAAAGGATTTTTTTTTATTTACTATTTACTAGATTCTCTCTTCATGCGTTTTTCAGTCTCTACTCATTTCTTCTTCTTCTTCTTCGTTTTCTCATTTCTTTTTTAGTCGTCGATTTGTATCAAGATATAGTCGTCTGTGTACTAAAAAAATTATTGAAACACATCTGTCGCATACACCGTCACATTTAGCACACGTACCTTTTGAATGTCAAATTAGAAGTTTATTTTCAAACAGCTGTTTGAGTGGAAATGAAATTTGAGACTATCGCCTCATGAAATGTCATTTGCAAGTTTGCTTTTGGTTCTTTAACCTCACATACACACATTGTATTTGGTGGTGTGTTTTTCTTCGTGAAATCATATAGTTTTTATATATAAAAAGAAAAAGAAATGGATGGTGTTGATAAATTCAAAGAGTTCATACATTTGCATGGTAATCAGTTGTTGCAATCGGATGTGCCGCAGCATTTCTGGCATACATTGAGTCGTAAATTGGAACAGCAACTTTTCGATGCTGGAAATGCATTTCAACTTTTAATGATTGACTATGATGAAGGTGAAAAAGGCGCCGAAGATCCATTGTATACCCTGGTAGTGACAAAGCCGGAAGGAATAAAAGCAACCAATTCGCAAGAAATTTACATTGTTGACCATGCATGGACATATCGTTTGCAAAATGCTCGAAGTCAACTACAACAAATACCGGCTCTGCTCGACCGCTTGGCCAACATGATGGGAGCATCTCACTTGGATAGAGAAGATGCCGTCGAATATGTGATGAAAGAAATGTGGCGTTACAATCAAATGTATGCATTGAGAGCAACAAATGGTGCCGAGGTAGCGATTGAAGATCGAATGCCAATTTGGTACATAATGGATGAAATCGGCACAGCCGTCAATCACAGTGATTCGCCAAACTTTCGCCTTGTCCCATTTATGCATTTAACCGAAGGTATTACGTACAGTTTGCTATTTCCTGTCAAAGATACATCCAAAGGTGAACGTGTGACCAGAGACTTTGCCGAAGGCAACACCACCGATTCGATTCGGAAAGCTCTGCTTTTGCCATGGTGTTATACAAACTTCACCGACATCGATTTTGAACAAATTGAACCCGATTCAAAGTATTTCCTCGATGGACATATCGAAGAAACGCTACCAATTGAAAGTGCAAATAATCCGACCGTCGATTCGTCTCGCCCACTTCGAGTCTACACCACTTACTCAATGGTTCAGCAGCATTTGAACGACCCACTATTTCAAGTCGTGGATAATGAACAAGAGGCCGATATTCTGTGGCTAACCACACATTTTAAGACATACAAAGAATTTTCGGAGCACGCACCCAACAAATTTATCAATCAATTTCCATTCGAAAATGTTATCACCATCAAAGATCTGTTGTCAATTGTATGCCGTCGAACTGCCAGCACGTACTGTGACAAGGAAACACTTCAGACCTTTCCAAAATGGTTGCCCACAACATTTAATTTGAAAACCGAATTACCACAGTTTGTCAGTTACTATCAAACGCGGGACGAAAAAGAGCTTGACAACCATTGGATCATTAAACCATGGAATTTGGCACGTGGTCTTGATACTTACATTAGCAAAGACGTTGAACAAATCGTTCGTTTGCAACCGACTGGACCGAAAATTGCACAAAAGTATATTGAAAATGCTGTTCTATTTGATCGGGCTGACATTGGTGCCAAAGTAAAATTCGATGTGCGCTACGTATTTTTGGTGAAAAACACCGAACCGCTAGAAGCATACATTTACAAAAAATTCTTCCTTCGATTTGCAAATAAACCATTCAGCTTGGATCAGTTTGACGAATATGAAAAACACTTTACTGTTATGAATTACGGCAGTAACTTGCAATTGCTGCATTTACCGTGTGCAGATTTTTTGAAGTTGTGGAATGA